AAACATGAGATCCTCTCTGCTGACAGCCAAAGTTATTTTAGTCACATCCTACCTAACAGTGCTCAGAGTCCTTACAGTTAAAATATGTTTTTCCTTTGGCAGCCTTTTTTTGTGGTTCAGCATCATTTCCCTCCCAGTGTTTTATCAGCATCCAGAAGTTGGTCTCATAAACCAAAACTTTAATTATCATTCTTTTCATTATGAGTCAAGGGGCTAAATATTGACCAAGAAATTGCCTTATTCTTGAATGTTGACAAATTTTTCCCATATGATCTCAGGAAAACCTTGATGGGAAACCATCTGTAGGCCACCTGAGAGTTCTGGGTGTTTTATTTAATAGAAGGAGAGACAACCCAATCCTGGCTGGGGATTATTGGCTCATTGAGCAACTCCACTCGTCTGATGTCTCTGAAGATAATAGTCTTCACTTTTCTAACACAATTTCCATCATGCCTTTTGTTTGACTATGGAGCTTTCTCACTGTTGCAATCTTATTTTACTCTATATATATAGTGGGCAGATCACAGAGCCTGACCCAAAGTCTTCATGTCACTCAACAGAATCCTAAACTTCACAGATCAACGGATAGGAAATGTGATCTTTTTGTCTAATGCTTCCATGTGTAGTATGAAAACATTATATTTGAGTTGTGTGGCCGAGGCTGAGCCTGCTGGACGGCACTAGATGGCAGTACCATATTGCACTTCCAGGGAAATCATCCCCTCACTGCCATTGCTCAGCTGGGCTGGGAAATGTAAACTGAGTGCAAAATAGAACCACATTTCTTCCCTGAGTTTGTTTTGGTCCACAGTCTGAAGTTGATCTAAGCTGCCCACAAGCCCCATTTCTCATGCTGCACACAGCACACTCCCCTGCAAGGGACAGCTAATTTTATGGATCTGCCAAGAAAACTGTGGATATTGTGAGTTCAGACACCAGTAAAATCAAACAGCTTTATGTATATCACATTTAGGCAAATCTACCATCATGCAACTGCATTGAATATTAGATTAATGTGAGTAATGTCAGGGACATTCCTTGATTCCATGAATTGATTATTATGAATAATATCCTCAAACAGGAACAAATGTCTCTTCCTGATTTGATGCACATCAGTAATGTTTTCCAATGGGGCATTTCAGTGTTTGTTCCTTGAAACCATCAATCTTCTGCACAGGAATTAGACCCATATGAAAGATGGTGTAAAAAGAAGCGAATATTAAGTGACCCTGGCATGGACATAGTAAACTATTAATAGAATTGAGTGAATAATCCCATTCAGCCCTGCTGAATCTAAAGGCTGGATTTCTAACCCTAAATGGGATTAGCAAAATTTCCAGGCTTTTAATCCATCTATTGCTATTCTTTTAAAGATTTGTCTCTAGCAGTCCAGACCCTTTGAAAGATTTCTGTCATTAAAATGTCCATGACCTAAACAGATTTGGTTTGGGCCTTAATGGTAATAAAATATTTTTAATTTAAAAACCTTAGATCACAATGAATTATATGCAAGTTGAATGTACATTATAATCTGCCTTTGTAAATGAAAGCAGAGGGCAGCCACTGCAGATGCAGTGCTGGGGATTTTGCACTTTCTTAATTTGTTTTAGAATGGGCCCCTCTGAAACTGCCTGATGTTCAGCTGCACGTTAGGAGATTGCAAAGCAGAGTGTTCAGGAGGGAGAAAAAATATTTTAGGATGTCACCTGTTGCAGCACTGCAGGGAAAAGTCAGGCATTTAACAGTTTATTTGTCACCCAGGGAAATTTCTTGAAGAAGGAACAAAATATCTGCAGAACTTTTCAAGAAGGATACTTGTCACTGTGCACAATTTGTGGGAGGTCTCACAGCCTCACACAAGCCTTGCTCGCAATTTTATAAGCAAGAAGCAAACGCTGTTGCTAAATTCGGAGAAGAATGGCCCCAGCCTGCTCGGTGATGGCACAGCCCGGAATTTCCATTTTCCAGGGAGCCTGTTTTATACAATCGTCACCACTGGGTGTCACCAACCAAAGCCGGGAACTCTTCACAGGCTGTTTTAAATCAGTGATGAGTGCAGGACTTCACCCTGGGTTTCCAAGTGGCAGTTGCAGACTGGAATTAATATATCTAAGAACAAGGTTGGCAGCTCCTCATTTTGCTGAGTTTCATTATTTGGGGAGGACTTAAAACTTCCAGTTTCCAGCTCTCAGTATGCACTTGGGTTTGAAGCAGTTCTGCAGTATTCAAGGTTACAAAGCCAGCCAACAGACTTTCAAAGCTGCCCGAGGGACATGTTTTGTGTGTGCACGTGTCTGTTCGAGTAAGGAGGGAATTAATGCTATTTTGAAGGATTTGTGTTGAGGTTTCTGATTCACTGAGACAGTGAAACTGCAGGGTAAGATTCCTGTATAATATCTGCTCCAGAACTGACCTCTGTGTGTGATTCTCACATAGACCTGAGGGTCCTTCCTAGGAACTGATACTCCCAACTCAGAATTTGCCTCAGTATTTTCTTCAGTAATGGCCACATCCTACATTTTTTTCCTACACAGAAATATTAGAGATGTACTTTAGTCTCCGAATGGCAAGAATTAGCAAAATAATTATGTTTTCTTAAGCCAAGTAATTGTGTTTTTTCAATTTTTTTTCTGATGTTTTTCCAACCTGGCATGAAACATCAGGAAAGTATCAGGAAAAAGGAAACCAAATGCTGATGTGACTTCTCAGATTAAAAAAAAAAAAAAGATGCTGTGTCTCTGTTGGTCCTGTTTCCCAAATCCCTGCACAGACCATGAGCGGTGTGTGCCCACTGGTGCCCTTGTTTGTTCCATGGTACCTGTGGCCCTTTCCAAAGGCTTTGATGCTCCTTCCTGGCTCTCCTGTGTTTGGGTATCCAGTTTCCTGTAGTCTTTCCTCACTCCTAAGCCCTATTTACTGCCCTTTTCCAGGTGCTGCTTTGCCCTCAGTTGCTTCCCATGTAACTGTACCATGCCTCTGTGTGCGTAGGTATTTGTGCTTTTCTTCCCCTCTGCCACATTCCAGGCGGTGATCCTGCTGCCAGCTGACTCACCAGGCTGGGGACACAAGGTCACGCTGTAAGACAACGAGGCTGCCAATTTAGCAACATCATCCCCTGGATCAGAACACAGAGGTTTTGTTTGTCAGCATCCTCAAATTATCAGGATCTGCTGCCTCAAGCCCATTAAGCAACGATCGCCTTTCCTGTGGGTGTGTGGTTTGCTCTCGAGGTAACTCTGCTGAAGCCAAAGTTAGGGTAATACTAAATATATTTATTTCTATTCTAAGATTCCCCAAATTTGGTTCCAAATGAGATAAAGTAGTACTTGAAGCAATCTTGGTGATTGGGCTGTGGTCCTTTGAGATTGCTGCCTCCAGGGGGGATTTAGTCCATTGCCAGGCTTTGAAGAGATGAACATTTTTGCACCTGGACTGTGCTGTCCTGGGCAGCAAATCTTCAGCACAGGCAGAACCAACCCAGACCCATGAGGAAAAGAGGCAGGATTCTCCTAAAGGCTCTGCTTATAGGGAAGCAGTGCTATGGAGCAAATTCAGTGTTAAAATTCTTAAATAGCGTGAGAGGGGATGAACATCAAGCGTGCCACCCAGCTGTGAGTGGAGGAAGGAGTTATTTGCTTCTGCAGATTTAATGCTTTGTCTCTGTTTTGTCCACAGTATTAACTCCTTTCCAGCAGTGGAAAATGCTGTTGAAAAAATGTTAAATCGTTTCACAAAAGTAAAAATACTATTTTCCTTATTTTTCAACGACAGTTGGAACATTGTCCCCATTTCCCCCCCAAAACTGAGGATTTATTTTCCTCATTGCTGTACCTTTCTTTGCATCTTTCTCTAGCCCATCATATTTGTAATAATTAATAATTGAAAAGTGGGAAGAAAATGAGGTGGGAAAAGCTTAAATGTTTTGTGTTTGCATTTGAAACAAATCCATTAACTATTTTTAATGTATGTTTGAAAACCAAGTGAAAAATCCAAACTAATTTTCTGCTTATTTATGTACTTTACTCCATGACATTTCACCAGTACTTGAAAAAAAATTGTTTGAGGGACAATGTAGGTGATGTAGACAAAACCACAACTTTACTTGATAAACAGCAACTGACAGGGAGGAATCCAAAGTGAAAGGCTCAGTATTTGTCCTTTTAACCCACCGAAAAGCACATGACAGCAGAACAGCCTTCTACAGTATTTGCAGTTTCCTCTCATGTCCCCAGTGAACCAGAGGAGCTCTGTGGATGCTTCACTACCAAAAATAGACCTCACTGTCACTGGGCTTTCACTCTTTTGATCTCTGCTGTGGAAACCACTGATGGGGTGTTACTGAAACTGCCATTCTGAGGGGTGAAAAAAAGGAATCTTTTTTGTTTCCCTCCTTGTTTGCCGCTGTAGGGCAATGAACTTACAATTACTCACAAAGAAAACAGTGTTGGAGTTGGAGCCTCTGTGCAAGGCAAGGTTGGAGCAGTGCAGTTTTTGGGTTTTTTTTACCTTTCAAAATATCAGGAGAAAACATGCAAAAGTTGATGCTTTCTTATCTAGAATTCTCTAAGAACTTGGTGTTTCCATCAGTGCAACAGTGCTAAACCAACACAGGTTTGCAGTTCTACAAGTCAGAGACAGTCCCATTTACTGGGACTCTGTCAAACATTGATTAGTTGGCCCAGCAAACCAAAATATGCAATTTGCATATTTCAAAATATGTCCCTGCTTAATGAAAAGAAAGACAAATGTACCTGAAAAAACCTCTGCCCTGTTGTTTAAATGGAAATTTAAGCAAAGATTTTATTATAAAATATAGTGAATATACTTTATTACATCATTTTAAACCAAAATCATATTCTGTTTTCAGAATGCTGCTTAAAGCTGACCAACATGATTTCATATTTTGTACTGTCTTTGCAGTCCAGTTTTTTATTCTTCCCCCTCATTTATCTTATTTCAACAGTTACAAATTCCAAAAGACATAATTCTTATTCCCACAGAAAATACGTATCAAGAGATCCACGTCCATGTTCTGGGGATGTGACCAAGAATACGTGCAAGACTTTTACACCACGGTAAAATGCACGAGCAGCAACAGGCATGAAAAGAATTGATGGGCAGAAGGAGATCCTTGGGAGAGATGTTTGTGCTCCCACTCTGGAGCAGGAAGCATGGCCAGGTTGGTAGCTCACGGGGCTACGGTGTCAGAAGGTCAGATCACACATTAGGATTTGGGCTCATCCCAAATGTTGACACAGTATTGAAGGGGGAAGGGAAAGGGAAAGGCATGTGACAGTAAAGGACATTGTATTCAGCAGTAAATGTTGATTGGAAATATCCATCATTGGACCTGGGAGAGGAAAGGCCTCTATAGAATCAACACAAAGGTTCTTCTTCTGTCCCTAAATATTGAATTAGGCTGGTAACAAGCACCAGATCTGGTGAAGAAGACTCTACTAAACATCCTTTAATAATAATTTAATTTTAATTAAATGTGACTGAACATATATTCCCATCTGACAAAAAGAGAATCCCACCATGCATAAGGCTAATATTTAGTGAGTGCCCCTTGGCTCAGCATGCTGGCCTGAAAAATACTGTGCTGTGACAGTTCAGGTAAAGCCAGAGGATCACCATGGAATGCTTAGATATCCTAAACCTGCATTTCATCTTCTCTTTTTATTACATCTCAGCCTGGCCTGGTTGACCCTTTCCCAGCTTTTAACCTTTCAGATCTGATCTGCAGCTGTTGGATGCAACAGGAAGTGAACAGTAACAACTGGCACCAGCAACATTTCTGTGAGTGTGCAGCACAGCCTCAGCTTGCCTGCTACTGCTGGCCTTTTCCAAACACAGTCATCATGTTTTCACTCAATAATGTAATCATTGTGATACTAACCTTCACTAGCAAAAATTCAGAAAGTCTGCTTTCATTTAATTTGAATTTCCCGGATTTCTCCCCAATTCCCTACCAATAATTTTAGTTAAAATAATAAACTAAAGCAATAATGCAGCCCACAAGAAGCATCTTGCCAGAAATGTGTATGTACCTGTTTCTAATACAGATCTTGATTATAGGTTTTTCATACACTTGTGCATCTCATTGTATCTCAGTTCAAGTCCATCTGTTAAATAACAGCATTTGGAAAGAAAATAATGCTGCCTTCTCAGAAGGATTCACACTATAATCTCCTGGATTTATTAATATTCAAATTCTTATAATAATTCAGCTTGGAAGGGACATATGGGATCATCTCATGACCTGGTACAACTCACAGCCCGGCTCAGCACCAAATTTGAAGTTGGCTTTAATTTCAAGGTCAGATAAATGGCCCAGGGCCTTGTGTCCCCCTTAGCCTTGAGTATCCCCAAAACTGGAGATTTCACAGTCTCTCAAAGCAACTTAGTTCATTACTGATAATGATCACTTTGGAAAAAACTTCCCTTATATTGGCATAAAATATTCTGAAATCTACTGACTATAAAAAAAAGGTGAAGAACAAAATATTAGTTCTCTACTCAGGTCATATTTTCACAACAAACTTTCTAGCAAAGATATCGAGCATACAGAGTTACTAGTCTGAAAGAGAAGATGGGTTAAACACATAATTGTGAAACACACTTTATGCAAGGGAATGATTTCTATAATGTGATGCCTATAATTGCATTTGATGATCTGCCAGGTATTTCTAGGCCTGTCTTTGCTGAAAGACCTTAAAGGATCCTCAGATTACTTGTTTGTTCTTAATCTCTAAGTTGTTCCAAATGGATTTTAAAGTGATTTTTCTAAATTACTGATGTGTCTGCTTGCCATTGTAGTGAATTAATCAGGCTCATTATTCAATGATAAAGCTTTGAATTTCATGGTTCCTAGAACCACACCTCAAGTGTTATCAAGGGTCAGTTTATTCCCATGTTAAAAGAAAAAAATGAGTGGAAGGCAATGTACTCTTTCACATACCCACCTCACACTCTGAGACAAAAGGCCCTTCCAGTGTCACAGTAATTTCCTGCTGGAAGAATGTTCCTACTGCTTGGTTTAATTTGAATAGTTGAACAGCATCATGAGCCTTTCACAGGGTAAATGGCCTGGCCAGGCAATTTTGGCTTTTTGCAGGATCCACTCAAATGTACAAATCAATTATATGACTTCCATGCTGAGAAAACACATTAACTTTAAAATGCACAGCAGTAGCCTGGTCTCAATAAAAATATTTAAAAGCTACTCTTAAACTATAACTCCAAGTTGCAGTTGAATATGAAATATCTATTTCCAGCCAATTACACCCAATTTCTATCCTGCTTTGGAAGATGTATATGCATTAGGAATATTAAAAGCCAAACCCCCCACAGCTCAAAGTGAAACAGGGAAAGACTTAAAACCTTTCCAGACATGCTCAGGCAGAAATGCAATGAGCCTTGTGACTTCCCAGCAGGCATCTATTCAAAGTATGTGCAGCACATAAGTAACCCTTGGCCTTCCATATTGCAGAACTGCCAAACCCCCAAACTTGTCATTCTAGGAACAACACAATCTATTAAAATGATTAATTCTCAGGCGTTTCTTCCATAGATTAAGAATAATAAAACAATTAAGCTTGGGGCAAAAACTGACTCTTCCAGGGTCACAAGGTCCACCAGAGAACCTCTTGTGCCTCCAGTGATGAAATAGGCCTTAGAAAAATACAAAAATATGCATGAAATCTAGTGAGGACAGATAAAGGCAAACTCACTTAAATCTGAGTATTACAGGTACTTGTGTTTACACTGCAGGAACAGCTTTCAGTTTAACATGTTGCACAGCAGGGAGGCAGGAAATTTTTCACAAGGCTCAAATTATTACGTGTATTCAAGGCCTTTCAACATAATTGGTTATTATGACAGATTCCACTGAAACACTCACAGGATGCAGTTCTTACTCTGGAAATGAAGGTTTCCAGTGGAGAGTTGTTCCCATGTAAAATGTTCCTGTCTCACAGCAGGATTCCAGGATACATTTATAATTCAGATTCCAGATGAGAATAATTGTTTATGGTCAAGTTCTCAACATACAGGGAATACTGAACTACAGAGAAAGATGACATTCTCTTTATATGCGCATATATGTAATCCCAATTAATATGCTCACTGGCAGGTGCAGAGAATAATTAGTAGGATGCTTAAACACCAACTTTATTTATCTTGCTGATCAGGATTCCTCCTAAGTCTGCAGTTATAAGCCAGAGCGGTAGGAAAAAAAATCAGCAAAACTAATCTTGCTATAAAGATTTGTTATTTTTTATTGCTCCTCAAAAAGCAGTTATCTTCCTTACAGTCCATCTGGATTTACAGTAACTCTCCTCCTGCTGTAAGCCTTCCTTTCTATTTTTGTATGGAAGTTTTCAGTGTCTTTTAACTGAGATGAGTGAAAACAAAGTTTTCTGTGTGAAAGTCGAGTAGTTTCCTCTGATCAGAGGACTACAGTGAGACAGTAAATTTGGTTATGAACTATCCTCCTATTTATGCTCAGGAAGGAATTACTCTCAGCTAAGTGAAATTTAAGTATCATTAGATCCCTTTTGAAAATGTTCTTTATAGACAGAAAACTAACATATTGGGAAACAAAAGTGTTGGTGGGAAGATACATCATCTACTACTATGCACTAATATCAGAAGTCTATGTTCCTGTCTTCCCACATTTTTTGTTCCATTAAATTATAAAAACAGCCAATGACCTGCTTGAGAAATGAAGCATCAACCAGATGTTTCCTGAGCAAAGAAGACTCGTGTTTCCCCTTACACACCATCTTCTGAGGGGCAGCACCAGTGACTGGGAACCCGACATCATTCACTGTGTTGACTTTGGGTTACTGAGAATCTTTCCTTTCCTTACCTTCCAACTCAAATACATTAGTTTTACAGAGAGATCGTAGGGAAAGAATGGATTGGAATGACTAGAACACAACATGGAAGAATGTTTTATATTCACTTTGTTACAACATCATTCCCTATAGAAATAGGGGATGGGGCACCCAAAAAAACACCACTTCTTTTTGAGAAGAACAACATGCAAAAACATGTTTCTGTACGGGCTGGTAATTTAAAACCAGAAGTTCTATATGAGAATATATCATTATGGTTTAGGGAAACTCTGATATTGTACTTTGGAGCAGATGCCTGTTTATTGCCAGAAACTACAGCATTTTTCTAGTTCTTTTGGGCTACTGAGAAAACTTCATTAGTCCCCATTAGCCTGTAGTGTGATCCCTACCAATCTGTGAATTGGGGTAGGATATAGAAGATGAGAGGCTCAATCATCATCCCACAGAAATACCTCATTCTCTTTATTCAAACAACCCAACAACACTTTGTTTACAACAGACCCTTCTAAAAGGACAAACTTTGCACTCCATTTTTAGGCAAGTTGGTGAAACAAAGCTGACTTCCAGGTGCTACATAACAAACAGCATGGGAAGGGGGTTTCATGTTTCTTAACCCTGTGCACCAGAACTTGAAATGCATGATGACTTTAAACTTTCACAGCAGGAAAATTCCTGTTCAAGCCATCCAGAAAGGTTCACATGATGCATGTATAATTTATAAGAGATCAATATTTAATCAGTCATTAAAAAAGCTCTCAAATGCTTTAAGAATGTCTCTACATCCAAAGATTGTCACAATCTCCCATTTAGACAAGAAACCACATCACACAAAGCTGGAAGTTCCTGTTCTTCCCTAGTAATACAAGATAGGAGCAGTAATCCAGACTTAAACTGGTGTCACTGCATACCTTTTTCACAATGAAAGCCCACAGGTTTTGTCCTGCTGTGGCACAGAGGTCAGTTTTGTTCAGAAAGAACTGGAAATTAATTAGTTTGCATCATTGTTCCAGGAAGATTCATCCTCAGCTAGTCAGTCCCCTTTTAAAATTTTGTTGTATCCTGTTGTGTGACACTGTAATGCTCAATACAGTAATGGTGTCCAAGTCAAAGACACTTGAAAAATGCCTAAACTGCTGGCAGAAAGCTCTTCAGAACACATCAGATCCTGCTTGGTTCTAATCCAACTTATTCTTTCAAAACCCTTTAAAAAAAAGAAGCAGCCCATGATATCAGCCTGTCATTTGTGACCTGCCCAGCAAGGCCACTCATAAGCATGAGAGACAGAACAAGAACATGGATAAAATAACGATTTATTGGAAGCAAATATTCACACAAAGTAAAAAGGCAATCATTTCAATCATTTGTTTTTTAACAAGACAAAGCTACCCCATTACAAGATTTATTCAGAAATAGGATCAGATTTAGGAACAATGCAGAATATTTTAAATCCCTGAGATTGAGGTCCTCTCATCTTTTATGCACTCCCTGCCCCACCCCCCACAAAGGTGCTGGAAATTTGATTTTTTGCTCAGTTCAGCTTTTAGTGGATTACCATCCAAAATTACAGTTTCAGTCTTTAGATCAGCAGGAAATTTAAAAATGCAAGCAAGCCCAAGCTTCACATCAAATTCATTCACATTCAGTGGCAGGCATCCAGTTCAAAATTACTTCCAATTTCAAGCTGGTATCCAAGCTGCTTTACAGAAAAGGCTACTGACTCTGAAGATAAAACTTGTTCCCCTTAAATCAGACATGGAAGAAGCCAACTCTTTCTTTTTCTTCTTGGTGGGTTTTAGGTTTCATATAGAGGTACAGAACTGGGAATGCAAGGCTTTAGGCTCCAGTCCTTTTTACATGTGGACTTAAAACCATCACAAGGAAGCTTAGTGACACAGACTTCCAGTTCCTACTGCAGACTTCTTGTGATTTACCCACATGCCCTCAGCATTTTTTAGGTTTACAGCAGGCAGGCAGTTTAAGAATGACAAACTTGGGTAGCAAAAGTGTTTCTCCTACGCAGTGCAAGTTCCATCACTGAGTTTCAGCAGGAAGCCACCCTGCAAGGCAACAAACATGCAATTTGCAGTCCAAGTTCAGACATTTTTCCTAGCTAAATCTTTGTCTCTTGTGCAAGGACATAACATATTCATCACAGAGCTCCAGTTGACAGGACAGTCAGGATAAGCAAAGCTTATCCTTGAGTACTTTCAAAAGCTGCAGCTGATGTTGGTGTTACCTTGACAGTGCCCAGCTCTTCAGTTGGAGATGGAAAAGGACTCTAATAAAGCTCAAGGCATAACTCAGCTAAAATAAAATTCTTTCCAATATTAGAGGTAGATTTTATCCAGTGTAATATATAACAGCCACTCCTGTAAGTGCAGAGCTCTTGGAATTAAAGAAGTAAGATCAATTTTGAGCTATGTTCTCTTAGAATAATTAAGGCAAGCTTTTTGTATATCCTTCAAGAAAGCAGGCACACCACTCTGTAAAGAGAAAAGTGGAAAAGTCATTCTTGCATAATGCACTCAATAACAACTATAAGCAAGATGAGAATTCCCATTGTATAGATCAAGGCCTCCAAACAGATACAGTTCTAAGATACAATTGTCTAAGATACAATTCTAAGATCTAGTACAAAGCAGCAAACCATTCCTTTAATACCTTGGGAACAGACTGCATTATTGAAGTTTGCTTGTCTTTAGGCTATTCATGTATGCTCTGGAACATGGATTTTTGGGGCTGGTTGCAGAAATTCACCTGCCAGGTTGATGAACCAGAGGAATTTGACAGGAATTAAAAAAAGAATAAATTAGTACTACTGTCATGAGACTCTAAAACCAGGACTGTGCAAGAGCCAGAAAGGTGGATACATCCATTTCAGAAAAAATAACTCTACCCAGCATGCAGAAGGTGGGTATGGATGCAGTGAATCCCTTGTTTGAAATGGATCTATCATTGTGTGTTAACTTTCCCTTACCTTGGCAGCCCAGTTGACCAGCCACGATGGAATCATGCCACCAGGATTATCAAAGTAGTACATATAGACTGGAGAGGAGAGAGGAGTTACCAGAAAGTTCTCTGAGTATCAGCTCTAACACCCCACAACAGAAGCTGTCAGTGTGCAAGGACTGAGGCACCAAGTACAACAGTTCTGCTCTTAATTCTTCACAAAAAAATCAACTTGTCCTGAAGAGGAATGTGAAGTAACTGTAGGCATTGCCAGTGAAGCTGACAGAGCCATAACATTAATTTAGATTACTGCAAACCATTTTAGTCACCCTGTCTTATAAAATACCGTTGTCTTTAAAGGACTAATCTCAGACAGGAGACAAACTCTAGGCAAATCCTTTCATCTCTACATCTGTCAAACATGATCCTCAAATCATTGCTGAGTTAAGCAGATTGCAGCAGACTTTCTCCTACTGAACTGGTTGGCAGGAAAAGAAGTGCACGCTGAAGGTGGGGTGGGATGGGGGGCAGAATGGTCAGTAAACTATTCTTAACTACCCAGCCCAACTGTTAAATGAAAGATTCTTCACAGTAGCACACTGCACTGGACATTCTCAAGTTTCATTCATTTTAAAGTGGTCCCAAGGCTCAGTGCATTCTTTATAGTCCCCCTCTTTATGCATTTTGCTAATCCACACATTCTCTGCCTACATGACTTGTGACACATTTTCTTGGCCTCTTACCTTTAGATCCAGCCTTGCCATCACTTTCAATTGCCACACTTTGTTTATAGCTTTTAACTCTGATAATACCGGGCTTTTCAGGGCACTGAGGAACAGACACACTTTGAGCCAACACAACCCAGATCTTCCTCCCATCCACATCCATCTCCCGACGTTCCCGAACATAGACATACTGTGCTCAGAGTTGAGGAGGAACGTCAAAACACTGCCAGTTTGATGGGTGAAAAATTGACAAGTGAATTCCCTTACAAACAGCAGCTCCCTCAAGTTACTTCCCATGTTTCTACAGGATTCAATCCTGCAGGGTAATAACTCAGCTATGTGAGTTCCAGCTGTGTGTGGGAAGAGGCACCCACGCTCTCCTTCATGCTGTACATATTCATGTAACGTGAGGACTGCAGGATCTTAGATCAAGTGCAGCAGAGCAGTGGAGTCAGTTCATTGCTGGGATTCCTGGATGACCAGGAGACAAAAACTGCCAGAGGAACAAAAGCTTGAAAGGATACATCTCTGTTTGAGAGAGGGAAAGGGTACTTCACTTCCCAGTAGATTACTTTTTCACCATCGTATGTTTTCTCACACAGTTCTACAGTTGAAAGAGGAAGACTGTGAGATATTTTTAATTTCTACTGCAGGACTATAGATGACATCAAGAACTGCTCAGATTTCTGACATGAGCATATTTTACACACAACCCTGAAGTCAAAACTGATATGCATTTAAAGTAGCAGTAGAAGACATTAAAAAGTTCTGTAGCAGGGTTGTTCAGGAACCAAATATGCATAAATAGGAGGTGTGTTTTCCTGTGGCTACTGGGTTCCCTGGTGGAAAAAAAAAACAAAACCAAAAGGACAAAAGTAGAACAATTCTGGAAGAGGCAGAGTGAAATTCCTTTTCAGACAGTTTGCTCATTCAAAGCTTTGCCATCTCAAAGCTTTTTCCTTGCAAGTTCTGCACAATTCACATGTCATTATCCTTGTAAATTATTCTGAGTTAACATGGAACTAGGATCAGTGCAGCTTTCTAACATCTGAAGAGGTCTTACATGAGGGATTAATGAAGTTTCCAAAAGCTATCAGGAATCTCACAGCAGTATATACAGGCAACTGAGGGGCTCTATATCCTCCTGAGGGGCTCTATACCCTCCTGAGCTAAAACGCCCACAGCCAGCCACATCCTTTCAGTGCTTTGAAAACGAGGCCAGAACAGACTGATAGTCTCATTGCCAAGGCAAGAACAGTGCCACAGATGGGAAATTCTTTCCCTATATAACATGTTCCAAACCAAGCTTCTGTTAGTATGTCCTGAAATCAGCTGTCACCCATGAAAACACCTTCTCCTCCAGGCTGGAGCAGTACTGGAAGCACCCGGTGTTGTCACAACCCACAGCATTATGCTTTCCACCAGAGGTCACTGGAGCATTGGATTATTCACTTTGCTTTCATTTCTAACCACAGAACTTTCCTTTTTCAAAGGCATTAAAACACTTTCAAAGACCCTGATACAACTATTATTACCTAACTCATCTACCTTTGTATCTTCACAATTACAGGAAAAGCATAGAGTAGGTAAGCCAAGTCCCACCTGCCCTCACTTTAGTCTGTCAGTACTAGTGCACAGCTTCTGATAAAAGCAGAACACAGCACATTTTAATCAATAACCAGATTTGTAGCATCGCTACAAAAGATCACAAATCCATTCTATTCTAACAGGCACAGCAGCACTTGCTGCTTCAACAGCCAGTTATTACTGATCAGTTATTGAGAAGTATGATCTCAATCAGGACAGTGCTGCAATCAGGAGTAGCAAGTTTCAGTATTGCTCAGCACCCCCCCCCCCCATTTTGTATCATGCCACAGAAGCATTTGGTTCCTCAATCACAACTCTGCAGTTCAGTCATGGCTTCCCTGCTGAACTGGCAGCTGCAGCACAAGCCAGACCTCAGGATGGCCACATCTTGTAGATATTCTGGACCACGTGGGAGCAGTTGCCTTTTCAGTAGAGAGGCAGCTTCTTCTACTCTGGTCAGGTTTTTATTTCAACGCCAGCCAGCAGTTCAGCAGAGAGCTCTCCTTTGGACTGCCACTATTGCACAGCTGTAAGAGCACCAAGAAACACAAACAGTAACACAAAGAGCACGAAGGCTCTCAGTGGAAGTTTTCTGGGGTTTCTCCCTGAATGTGAAAGGAGAAAAAACATGCTTAAATGGGCTACATTAAAAATGTTGGCTGGCACTATTTCATAATATGTACAGCTAAAGAATAGTTGGGCTTGTGGCAATTTTGAAGCTGGAAGGAAAGTTCTGCTGTTATGTTTATGCCCTTCACAGATGTTAACTCTTGAAACGCTGGACTTAAAGGCACCAGCACAAGTACAAATTCACAGATGAACAAACCATGGTCAGCAAGGATATAAATGTCAGCTCTGCAACACTATTTAGTTTTTAGTGTAAGGGTGTAGCTTCCCCCAACAGCTTCCTTTCTTATCTCTAAGAAGGCATTAAAAAAAAAAAAAAAAGTGTTTGGTTAAGAAAGATTCAGTTCTCCTAAATGCACTTAAGGACTACTAAAGTAACTCAACATAATATTTTACATCCATTACAACAATGTTGAGTCCCAGTCTGGCTCTTTTTGCTTCAAAAGAGGTGTTTGCTACAAGAAAGCTACTGATCATTTTGACAAATAAGACTTACTGATGAAGACACCACACTTTAAACTTGACCAAGTACTGGCACAAGTCAAACGTGGTTCTCTGTATCAATACAGCCACAGGCACTACCAATTAAGGGTTCACCATGGAACTGTCCTAAACCTAACAAGCAAAACATTTAACAATCCTTTGGTTTTTAGCACGCTCTTTGTTCAGCAAAACACTGTGACCATGTTTTAGTTTTATTGGCTTGAAGTGACTCCAAGAACAGGCTTAAAAGGGAAAGGCTCCCCATCTTTAAAATAAATGGATTACTGGATGCTTGCATCAGCTGAATCCTTACCTTGTAACTGCTGACTTAAGATGTTTTAACATCATATGGATATCCAGGTTCAATGCCCTTTTTCAAAGACAACATTAAATAAACACAACTAAATTAGTTATTCCTTTCTCTGTAAAAGCCAAAGCCACCACCTATTCTCTCATACACCCACTCCTGATGGTAAAAGGTGCCAAGAACAACCAGTGCTTTCAGGAAAGTCATTCCATCACACATCAAACTGATGCAAACCAGAGGAAAATTTTTCACAGTGAGAACAATCAGCCATTGAAATAATCACCCCAGGGAAGTGGTGGATTCCCCAAAACTGGACGTTTTTAAGACTCAGCTGAGCAGGGTGCTGGGCCATCTTGTCTTTTGCCAAGGAAGGTTGGACCAGATGATCCCAGAGGTCCCTTCTCCACCTCCTGGTATTCTGTGCTCACTGCTCCGCTCCAATGCTCAAAAGGTACCATCTCCATTTCTCCCTGGAACACCTGCTAAAATTTAACCCAGGAATTGCAACAACTAGAAGCTACAAGGTGCTCCGGCATAACCAGTGATGTCAATTATATGCTTTAACCAACATGGAAAGAATTCATTCCAGAGGAAAGACCTATGCTGTTGAGACATTAGCTGTTCCATATCAGTGTTTACTTGTATATTTGCAGAGGGCAACCTTATCCCAAAGAGATATTTAAGTCTGGCCCAAAGTCTTTGGATACAGTGACTTCAAAATACCTTTGAGGAAAGCTTTAGCGGGAAGAATCCATGTGGACTAAAGCTTGCTTTTACACTGCCTAGATGAGCTTACCTTTAACATACTGATCCCACTCTTTTCTGAAATCTAAGTCCATGTAGACATCTGCACACAGTTTTGGGGGACAATCAGCAAGACCACCGAAGATTTTATACTCATAAAGTCCTGATTGCTGTGGAAACAGAATGGGGAGAGGAAAAGTCACACAGGAAAGGGAAGTACTCTGCATCAGGGAGAACAGCTGAAGGAAGTTAGGTGGGGCACAAACTACAAATATGCTCAAGAGCTGTGAAAGCAAATCTTCAAAAAACAATGCAAGATTCAGTCTTTAACCTCTCGACTTTTTGATCTATACATGAAAGTTTAAACCCAGCCAGCCTGACCTGCCCTGCACAATGGCTGTTCCTTCCCTTACACTAGTACCCTTTTACTTCATCAGTACTTCCAAAGGGAGCATGTTTCTATACACATACATCCCTTTTCAAAAAACAACTAAAAAAAAGGCAAAAAAAAAAAGAAAGACACCTCTAAATGTTTCTGAGCTTCAAATAGTCTTTTTAGCTCAAGTCTTTCTACACAAAAGCACAAGAAGAAGCCTGAGCTACTTTCCATCTTGCCAGCTGCCATTTACACAACAGCAGCAAAGCCACTGCAGAAACACAACGTACCCCAGCACAAGCCTGGTCCCTTTTGTGTGGCTAAATCCAGCCTCCAGCTTCCCAAAGTTACTTTGCCTTCATCCACCACAAGATGCATTTACAGCTCCGTGATGAGCTCCAGTCCTAAAGCCTCTACTTCATCCACTCCAGAAGCAACACTCCCAGCACCCTGAATTCCATGAGCACATTTAATTCCTGCATGGATACCTGGCAGGCACCCCAGCCTTGCCTGTGCTGTGTGCACTCAGTGATAAGCTTGTCTTGCTACTGCCAGTTACCACATCCACACTGTAAACAGGGACTATTTATCACCAAAAAAATTCCAAGGTCTATGATGTGTTTTTAAAGAGCCTTTCCCTGCCCCGTTTTGCCTTTCACACAGACCTGCATGTTTGCTGTTTTTGCTACACGTGACCATGTCTGAAATGATTTTTCAGAATACAAATACAAAGTTGTCACGCAAAGAACAGCATGAAATCCAGGTTTGAAAGGAGCTGAGAGGAAACTGTGATCACTGAGCTCAAGAAATAGAGTATTTATATATGGATTTAAAATACATATATTATAAATATATATTCTATAAATATAATCTGTATTCTATAAATATAATATTATATATAAATATAGTATATATTATATATTATATACTTATATATTATATATTATAGAAATAGAATATATAATAATACATAAAATATATAATATATATAATAATATACATAATATATAATCCATTATTATAAATTTATTTAATCCATTTATATATGGATTTTAAAGTCATTGATAAATCATAAATCTGCATCAGAATACAAACATTCACTGTCAACCACTTACAAGCCAGTCCCAGAAGCCTAAACTATTGAACTTCTTTAAAGAAGTCAGTCCCCCAAAAAGGGGTGGAATTTCATTTCAACCCTTTCTGAACTACTTCCCGATTTTAGAGGGAGAATGGTGGGAAATCAGTGTGAAGGGAGTTTTGGAGAGAGGCAGGAAGGGAGGCGGAAGCCTGGAGACCAGGAGGATGCTCTGGCACGGGAGATGCTCGGAGCAGGCGAGCGGGGACAGAGCTCCCCTCACCACACACACCCCTCCGAGAGGGCTCGGCAGAGCACAGCAAACCCCCCGACAGGCCCACGGCTGCTCCCACCGCCCAGAGCACCTTCCCCCGGGAATTCCTCCAGCCACCGGCTGTTCACACCCCTGCAAAGCCTCGGGTTCCCCGGCAGTCTGCGCGGGCGGAGGGGTCACCGCGGCCGAGCAGCTTTCCCCATCAGCAGTTAATGGCATTACCCATAAAGCTGCTTTCTGGGAGCCCGGCGTAACCCGAGCCCGGGCCGGCAGCGCCAGCCTGGCCTGTGCGGGGAACCGGGGACGCGCCGGGGCCCCCATCGCGGGCATCCCCCGCCCCGGCCGGGAGCCCGCCCGCGCACCTCGTGGTACAGGCGGTAGATCCTCACGCCCATGGTCTCCACCAGGAGCTGCCACGGCCCCTCCGCGCCCGGCGCCGGCTGGTCCAGCTCCCGGCAGGCGGCACGGAACTGCTCCTCCGAGAAGGGCCGCGGCCCCTCCGCCTCCATCCCCGGCGGCCCCTCCATCCCCGGCGGGCGGGCACAGCCCACGGCCGGAGCGCCCCGCCCCGCGCCCGCCCCGGAGAGCCCGCGGGGCCGGGGGATGCGGGTTTGCAGCACCGCTGCCCCTCAGGGGTGCTCCGTGCGCTCCCGGTCCTCGTGGGGTCTCAGTCCCTCGGTGGTGGCTTTAAACGTGCGTCTCAACAGCCTGGTGAGGGAACGGGAACAGGTTCCGTGAGGGTGATGGTCAGGGCCTTTCCTTTCGGGTGTTCCCTAAGGATAGAGATTGAACACTGTGGGCACGTGTATTTTTGTGTATTTTTTGTATTTTTGTAATTTTTTTTGTATTTTTATACGTTTTCACTATCTAAAAAGCAGTTCTCCTTATGGAGTGTAGGAATGAGAACATATAAAGAACCCATAAGTGCTGTACAGCTGGTTGGTAGGGGTGACCCTGGCACACTCCAAGGAGGCCCAGTCACCCTGGCAAAGAGGAGGGGGCAGCAGGCTCTGCCCTGTGGCAATCTGGGATGCACTGGGTGGACAGGATGGAAGGGGACAGAAAACTCCCACTGGGCTGAGCTCCCTGGCAGGAGGAATCCACTGACAGGGACACACTTCACATCTTGCTTGGGCTCCTGCTGTATGACACCACCTATAACAGTGTGAGGCTGCCACACACAGACAAAGCATCAGGCCCTCAAAATGTAACTGGCTAAAGCCGGTTTTCTCCTGGGAGCTGTAAATCTGTTTTCATTACAGCTTTATTCTTCTAATTCCCGTGAGATTTTCCTGTTGAACACTGTGTCTTTGGAATAAAACAGAAGGCAGCTCTGAGGCGTGGGACGTCATCAAACCTACTGACTGGCAGCACTAGCCCAGTGTACTTGGTGGTAACCTCTGTGCAAGGCTGGAATAATGTAGTGTTTTCTAGCTTCCCTGCCAAGGGGCCGAGCTCTGACAAAGGGTTCACTTATGTCAGCTGTCCTTTCCAGTTCCAGTCAATTGGTTTGCAAGCAGTGCATGGGGATTTCTGGCTGACTGCTTTGGACATACAGGCTGACCATCATCCCTGCACAGTCCAGAAAACTTTCAGAGAGTTTTGGCAGAATGCAAGATGGTATCTATCAAACTTCCCCCCAGAATGTAAATTTGATGCCAGAACTTGACCTGTAGCACCTTTATAAATTAATATCACTAATGGTGATAAATATCTGCTCATATCTCATCTGCTCTCAGCTCCCCAGTGAAACTGCTAGGCAAACATTTCAGTTCTTTTATGTTTTGTAGTATGCTTACATGTGTTATGACCTTTTATTACTAATATTTATATAATACATATAAATATTTTGGCTTATTTGTGCTCTTTGTAAATTACAATTGCTCTCAGTCAGCCCAGCTGGTCCTCCAAATGTCATGGCAATACATTTCTTATGGCTGAAGCCTTATGAGTAAATTCTTGGCTAAGTTGCCTTCAAAGGAGCTTTGCCCACCCAGCTGAGAAGCTGGTCTTCAAAATGCAATATGAGACAATGGCCTGTAGGTGAGACTGGTTTAGTTTATCTTGCAGAAATATTTCTTGATTTTTGCAAAGATTTTATCAGATTGCTGTCTCACTTTTAAATCCCGTTCCTGCTCTGCAAAAGGACTCAGTGAAACTGGAAGAGCTTGGGGCTCTTGTTTGCTCACAGGTGACTTTGACCCGGTGTGAAACAGGAGGAGTTGTGAGTCGAGCTGATATTTAACATGCAGCAAGGAAACGTGCCTGTGAGATTGCAGGATCCCTTAAGGAGCCTTGTTTGTGCAAAAGGACTGAAGTGATCACAGCTCAACACTGCCGACTGTTTTAGGGTCAATGTTTTGCATTATGTGGTTGTCAACATGGCATCAGTCAGTTGGCACAGCTGCCTGGCCACTCCCTCCTCCCCCAGCACTTTCATGGAAAAAAAGATTTATCTCACAAGGCTACTCCAGGGACCAAAACTTTCAAAAAAAAGCATTACTCTGTGACCTTTTTTCTTGGTAAATAAGGAGTGGTGACTACTAAGAAAGCACAAACAGTTCTGAAAAGAGAGTTTCTTTTCTATTTTCACGTACCTTTATGTAAGTGTTGTTATTTATCACTCGTATGTTCATGTGTTGCCCTTAACTCAGGGACAGAAGCTAAAGTTTGAACCCAAGACCTTTGGTATCTGCATTACTGGGTAGTGTGGCTTGTAGGCTGGGGTGAGCTCAGAGACTGACTTCCTAGAGCTCTGCCCCAACACAATTGGGATAGCAACTGTTTTGGGGCAGCTGGGTCTGGGAACACAAACCCAAGCTCCAGCACAGCTACCAAAGGCAGCCTAAGATACAGCACAACCCAGTCCCACACGTGAATCAGGGACTTAAATACTAACTGAATGAAAACAGAGGGTTACTATTCTGGGGCCAGAAGTGGGAGTTTCAAAAGTGCCCACAATTTGACCCCCATATTTAGTATTTCTCAGGCTTTAGGATAGTCTCTCATATGGTTTAGGAGTTCAGATACCTGGTTTTCATCCAGGTGGTCCAGGTTGAACTCCTGGTATGGGAAGCTTTTGATTTTATCCCTGGAAGTGTTCAAAGCCAGGTTGGATGGGGCTCTGAGCAACCTGATCTAGTAGAAAGTGTCCCTGCCCATGTCAGGGCATTGGAATGAGATGAGTTTTAAGGTCCCTTCTAGCTCAAACCATTCTGTGATTTTATGAGTCTCTTTAGCTGCTGCTGCTCTCAGTGGGAAATGATACCTCAAGGAAACTTGCTGATCTGGCCTATCAGTGGGATTAATGCACCTAAATCACCCACCTGTTTTTTAGAATGGAAACAATCTGTATTAATTCTACCCTAACACCTAACCTTCCTGCTACTGAAATCAATGCTGAGTAATCCATTGAATTCTGTGGTGGGGAACCAAACCAGCAAACTGGACAACTCCCCCATCAGCAAATCCTACATGGCCAGAAGTGAAAACAGCAATGAACACTCCACTGATGTTTCAGGCCCCAGATGATTTTCAGTGTGTGCTTTGCCTATGGGTTTGGTATATGGAATAGTGCTATATTGTCTTTTCCTGCATCTGTCTCTGTGTGGCACTGGTGCACTTTGAGAAATTCTTGAAGATGAACTAAAGATGTGGGATTTTGATGGATTCTGCTGCTGTGCAGACTTTTATATATTGTTGTCATTCCATTTTACTCAGTGCCTTCCAAAAACTTTGCAAAAGTGCTGAACAGTCCTGACACACCATTTATATACAGTGTGCACGTTCATATTTCTACTATACACAGCCAGAGCAATTATAAGCTTCTGCTACTGTTGTTTTATCAACTGCATTATGTAAAAGCCTTTCTTACAAATTGTTTCATGACTTCTGCAATTTTCAAGAAGAAAATTCTAAATCCAGAAAGCTGAGAAGTAACAACAGCATCTCCCATCACAGCCATGCATGTGGAAGCCAGTCTATATTCTCCTCTCTTCTATGAGTCAAAGGGAAATCTGTTTTTTCAACATTTTTGGAATGTGCAGAAAACCCAGCCTGTCTGCCACACCAAAATTCTTTATATATTTTATATATATTTTTATTCCTAAGTATTTAGGCAGGAAGGGGCATCCAGAGTGACAATCACCTCTTTTGCAAAGAATTGTGCACTGCTTGAGCTGTCAAAAGGTGTCTTAAGTGGCCATTAAACACTGGTTTATAATGGTCTTCTTCACAGAGTTGAATTGAACCCCAAACTACGACTGTATCTGTATTGAGTATCTCATTTCAACAGAATTCCACCCAAATAGGATTCAGAAAATAACTGGAGTTCTGCTGGTTTTCTGCCTGTCAATGCTAAATATTTTTTATCTTTGGTAGATAGTTTATCATCTGGACTCCTCGTGTCAGGACCCCTCTCTTCCATTTTGATTTAGACCTTTTAGCCACAGTTTTTCTGGAAAGTAATGCACTCCCAGTGCAAATAACCTGGAAGTGGTGAGGTGTAACCTATTTACCTGGCCTTGAGGAAATAGGGGTAGTTTTAAAACTTTGCTGTAGGAAAGGTGGGATTTCACCATTACCTGCACGACCTAAAATGACTCATTCAAAAGATAAGCAAGGCTATTTAAATCTTGACTTGATTTGGAAAATGGTTGTCACCACCACCACACCCTCTGCTTTCCTAACTTGTTTACATGGATGTAGAAATACTTCTAAACATTTCCTTTAGCATGTGATGCTAAAGCAGATGATATATAGGAATAGCTCTCTTTTGTGAGAACTGTGAGAACTGGTCTTACTGCACTAATTCTTTTTTTTTTGTTCTTTCTTAACTACCCTTTAGGTCAGACACTTGACTTACTGTTAATTTCCCAGAAGTCATCTACTATGCAGGAGGAAATCTGTGTATTTTACCTATATGCAGTATTTTAGATAGATCTTGTGCATAAATTGTACTGGACTAGGACAGAGAAAGGTTCATCAGTCAGGCAGTAATTCAGCCAATGGCCTGTAGGTTAGCTTAAAGCTCATAATTTTCTTTCTACTGCTGGAGAGTCCATAACAAGTGGCTGAAATGCTCCATGTTCATTAGACTGACCATGTTCAGAGGGAACAGTGTGTGCTCTTCATGCCCTACCTACTGGCAGAGCAGGGAAGCAAAATACAAAATGTCTCTTGACACCATCCTCTAGCTTGGACAAGTCACTTTTTCAGCTCTTTGTCTGCATTTCCCTTCATGTCTTTGTGCCTTGTAAGTTCTTTGGGGTACGCAGTGCAGGTGGCAAAACAAGAAAAGCCTTCTCTGTAGAGCTGGGGGAGGAGATCATTCCCACTCTTGACTTAAATCTCAGCTGAATCTGCTGGATCCTGCTGCAATAGCCTCTAACACAAATCCTGGTTGTGGTGAAATTACAGGGCCTGGAGTTTGCTCCCAGGCTTCCCCCTGGCTTGGCCAAAAAGCTGCCACGGTGGCTAAAGATTCAGAGGTTCTGTAACCAACTTCTGCAAGACTGAGGATTTGGCTTCTGGTGGTGTGGTGTATCCCTCTGCTAATTAAAAGCACATTGTCCACATAAGGAACGTAGCTCTTCAAATAGGAACATCATGTAATTATGAAAGCAGTAGGAGATAAGAATAATTGTTTTCAGTTCCAGATGTCCTGTCTTCTTCAGCACCGCGGGGAGATGAAGTGAAAGTCGAGCAGGGCAATAACAAAGTTCACATGCACGGCAGGATAACTGATGTTGACCAAAGTACTGGTAGGATCTAATGGAGTTCAAAGAAAATTCCTTCCATATTCTTGGTCACCAGAAAGGTTTCTCACAGTCGTTGTAAGCACATCCATTTCATGAGCCTGATTACCCCCGGAGTGGGTGGTTTGCATAGCCATCAACCAACCAGGCTGAACTCCCTTGTGCTGTTGAACTGTGTTAATGAGAGGGGAGCTACAGCCTTTCATGTGGAATGATCTGGTTCTCTGGTTTAACTGGCTTTGGGCTCCTTTTGGACTCCATTCCTCATCACAAAACACATACGCTGCACGACATGGTAAGGATAATTTACAACATATTAAACATGTTGAAAGAGCGCTTTCTGAAAGTTTCAGTAAATGCAGTAAACTGCATGTTGTGTCCGTGTGTGGGCTTAGGAATGAAATAAAGGAAAATTCAGTGGAGGGTTAGGGAAAAGGCAAGAAAAACTAATTGAATAGGGAGCCCACAATGGTTGTACTTTGCCAGATTAATGAGTCACTGTTTGCTGTGCTGTCAAGGCCCAGGAGACTGTTAGAAACTCAAAGGAAGCCATGAAGTATTGCAAGTGTGTTTGAGTCGGCAGAGCAACAGCATTGCTCAATTTAGGAGCAGAACTCTGCTCTCTCAGTGGGCTGTGTGGGTTCCAGAATCACACAGGCTTCTTGCTTATCATCCCAGCTTTGGGGCTGCACCTCCCTCTAAGCAGCTGTGCTACGGCCCCAGGGAGGAGATTTTGTCATTTAGGGCAGGTCCTAAAGGGGAACTATGTATCATGGAAGCAGGGCGGTCCAAAACTGTGAACCTGTAACCCCTCACTGCAGCTGTTGCTCAGCCCTGAAGTTTCCTCAGCTGTTTGCACTGAATTTCTACAGGTGCCAAACGTGCTGCTTGGGGTATGTCTGGTCCTTCTTTCCTTACATCCTTGGAGAGCTGTGCTCAGAACACAGCAGGACCTTAAAAGGCAGAGGAAGTCACTCATCCCTTTCAAAAAAGGCCAGAGTGGTGGTGCCTAAGTTGTGTGTGACCCTTCAGTGCCTGAGTGCTACAAACCCACCCTTCTAGGGGAGAGCCTGCTGATCTCCCAGCACTGAGGAGGCCTCATTCCCATCACTTTTCATGGCAGCTTTTATGCTTCACAGTAAGGAGTTACAATAGTCTAGGACAGAGTCTGACTTTCTAGCCTATTGTTAGGACATCTATTTGTGCAGAAATGTGAATTCTAAGCCCAGTTTAGCATTCAGTGCTTGTTTATGTGTACTTCAGATTAGTTCCCCCAAAAAATCAGCATTGGGAGTTATTTTATGTAATACTTTCAGTGTTTTATGTAATACTGTCAGTAATAAAGTTGGCATAGAAAAGTGAGAATGTACTAGTGGAACTGTGGATGGTGTAAGCACGGGAGAACCAAACACTGCACTGGAAGGACTAGAGAGGAATTGATGTAATAGGAATGGGGTGAAATTTAGGTCATGCACACATGTGCTAACAGCAAGAATTTCTGATATAAAGTGAAAAATGAAACTGATACTGGAGAAAAATCCAGACATCCTGAACAATCAGAGGAAAATTATGAAATGTTAGTATTTCTGGCAGGACAGGAAAATACTTGCATTTCCATGCAGAATATTGGTAAGGCCACATCTGAAAAAATTATTGAAAATAAGCCTGAGATAGTCTCATTTATCCCTCTTAGGACAGTAGAGACTTAATTGCCAAAAGAAAGAACATCTACTTCAGCCAAAGGCTTACTTGTCCATGTATAATTGTCTGTGAATCCATGCAGCTAGAAACAAGACAGAGGGTCCTAGATACCAACAGAATAAGTCTCATAGCATTCCAACAGGAGGAGCAGGAAACCCAGTTGGTTTGAGGTGGAACTCAGCAAGTTTAATAAAGCTGTTACTGACACTGCTGCCTGCATTAGGAAGGACTGGACTTAATGGCCTAATGAAGTTCCCCTCAGATCCAGTTTGCTTGTCACTTCTGCTCAAATGCTGATGTATTTGAAGGGAGCATCAACAAATGGGGAAAAAAAATGCCAGTTTCTCGTATAAAGCTGTGGAGCTTTTCCAGAACCTCCTGGTTGATTTGTCTGGAGCAGATGAACCCTTGGCAGGATCTCCATCACTGGGCAGTTCTTAACAACACACAGGGTGAAATCCTGGCCCACGTGAAGTTGGTGGAAGTTTCACTATTAATTTCTGTGAGGCCAGGATTTCACCCTGGAAAGGGAGTCAAAAGTACATGCATGCTTTCAGAGACAGAGTGGCTGATTAAATACATCTGCTGCACTGCTCTTTTATCAATCATTGATAAAATAGTGCCTTTTAAATATAAACTTCGGGTAAGCTTAACCGCAAAATTCAAACACGTCCTTTACAAGACTTAAAAGCATAATTTGTCTGCTTTTTATCTGAAATAACAGGAATCATGGTAAAAAAAAATAACACCCACCCACATCCATCCAACTCCAAACCCCTGCAGTATTTGATGTGCCGCAGAAACGAGCGATTAAAGCTTAGAAAAGCCAGTTAAAATATTTCTAAATGATACACAAAACTTTATCCCTTAAGAATGTAACCCAAAACTATGCTCCTCCTCATGTAATTCCTGAGCAGTCGAACTGGGAGTTCATCTGGAATTCGCTATGGCCTGTGCTTTCAAGTGACCCGGCGCGGCTCAGGACGGGCAGTGACCCTCACCCGCACGGCTCCAGCGGGGATGTGGCCGCACAGCCCGCGTGGTGGTGGGTGTGCGGGAGGACAGGGAGGGCAGGGGAAGGCTGGGGAGCTCTGGGGAACGCTGTCCCACGCCCCGCGTGTGTGACCTGTCGCGATGCGGAGCGTCCCCGCGGTGCCGAGCGGGAGCCAGGCGCGTCCCCGCCGTGCGCATCCCTGAGCCGGGCGTGTGAGCCGAGCACGGAGGAGGGAGGAGGGCCGGCTCCGTGCCCTGCCCAGCCCCGGACAGCCTTCCCCAGCCTTCCCGGCCCCCCCGCACCCGGGAGAACGTCCCGCTGCCGCCCCGCCCGCGGCTGAGTTTGCTCCGGTCCCTTAATTGTTTCGCTCTCACCGAGAACTTTGTTTACAGTCCCTTGTGCAGCGAGCGAGCTGCATCCCCTCTTACGCTGCCTGCGGGCTGGCGGCCGCCGCAGTCCCGCCCGGCGGCCAGGAGGTAAGGTACGGCTCGGCAAGGCTCGGCAAGGCTCGGCTTGGCAAGGCATGGCATGCTCGGCACACTGTGGCACGCTCTCCTGTACTATGGCATGGAGTGGCACGGCTCAGCTTGGCTTGGCACGGCTCGGCTCGGCTCTCAGCCGCTGGACCCGCTCGCCCGGCGGCCGCGCCCCCGCCGGCTCCCGGTGCCCGCGGGGCTCCGGATCCCGGCTCCCGGTTCTCCGGGGCAGCTGGGGCTGCTCGGACACTGCGGGACCCGCTCCGGCCGTGGCAAAGGGCTCTCCCGGTTGTTCGCAGTTCGGGGTCCCCGCAGCCGGAGCCGCTGCCCCAGTGGCAGGTCGGGGGTTCCCGGTGCCGCTCCGTGCCCGGAGGGGTTACGGGCAGACAGGGTGCACAAGGCTCTCCCCTCCTGTTCCCGTCCCTGCACTCTCGCAGAGGTGCTCGGGGACAGGCGTGACACGCAGGGTTTTACCCCAGGTGTGTGCGCGTGTTGTGTGTTATGGGAGCGTTTGAAAGTTTTGCGGTTTGCAGATGACAAAGTCCGTTTGTGGAGGGGTTTGGTTGGCTTCCATCCTACCCTTCACCTGTGTCGGAAAGACGAAAAAGGTGTGAGCTTAAATCTGGTCATTATTTTACGTAAAAAACTTGGTGAGGCAATTTTACTGCATCCTGCGGCTCAGGCAGCTGGCGTGGAGATGGTGTGTTCTCCTCCTGCCCCTGTAGCTTAGAGCCTGATCCTCGAGTCTGGTAAATACAAATTCTAGTTGTGTGTTTCCAGGAATGTTCACCTGGGGAAGAGCTTAGGGATTGTGTTCAGGGTTACTGTAGTCTGTTGAATTTCAAATGAACTCTGGCTCTTCTCTCGGTACAGGAGGACTCCTGACACTGTTTTCCATAGTCACTTTAATGCATAACCAAGTGTGAAGTGTAAGCATTATAAAAATTTATTGGAATTTTACATAAGCAAAAAGGGTGTCTGAAGTATTGTGCAAAATAGAGAGAATCAGGTCCAGAGCCTGGAGGCAGAAAACTCAAAAGTGACCCGCTGGTTCTGAGTAAAATGCAAAAAAGGAGGAAAGGGTTGTAGTGGCTGAACAATGTCATCTCTTTGCCCTTGCACAAAGATATTCCTTATGTGGGAAGCTCCTGAGAGAGCACCACATTGAAATGATTCTGAGTTAAAATATTGGAAGCTTCGTGTGTAGGTTTCATGTGTTTCTGATTCTCAGCTTTGTGGTGAGGGAGGGAAGTGAAATAGAAGAAATCTCATCTCTGAAAAGTTGCTCTGTCAGTCAGGATTTTTGATAAAGACATTAATTTAAGAAAATTACCTAAACTGTGTTGTAGTCAAGAATAAATGCAAATAAAGAACTGACAGAGCAATTAATCTTTTCAAAGCAAGATGCTGGCAGAGTGGCTTAGGGGGCACAATTGCTCTAGGAAGAGGTTTTCAAACAATTGTAACCTTTCTGTGATCCGAGTGGAAGTTGGCTGCAAGTACATTTCCGAGGTGTGTGTTTGTTTTAATGTAATTTAGATTTTTTATTTAAAGTGGGGTTTTTTTCCTGCATTGCCCTCCAAACTTTTCAGAAAGTTAAACTAATTGCTGGGTGGTGTGTACGGGAATATAGTCAAGGAGACAAGCAAGGAGACTTCCTTATTATTAGCTAAGTTCAATAATCAGCTAAATATACTTTAGCTATGTCACAGGTTTATTCCAAGGATCCCCTGAGAACAGCAGCAGTTTGTGCCTGTAAATGTTTGTGTTAGTGAAATGTTAGTATGGTCTAAATAACTTAAAAAGAGAATAGCCCTTGAAGTTTATCATTATACAGACTTATTCTCTTGAATTTGCTCTCGTTGTCACTTAGAACTCCTGTTTGAGGGTGGAAATGATCTTCCATAATCATGCACATATAGAAAGGGAATGTCAAATAAGATTAGCAACATAAATCTCTGCTGCTTGGTCAGTTTTGCCCAGCTGCCTGCTGGTTTCACAGCTGTTTCTGCAGTTGATAACAATTTCCATCGCTCTGCTCTCTGCAGTCCTCACACTGCCCTGCTGCAGATTCCACCTTGTCCCTCTTTGAGTTATGAATCTTGTTTTAAAAAAATCCAATAATAACAGAAATGAACAATGATAAATATTACAGAGTTATGTTTATTACAGTGGGTTCTTGGACTCTGTTAGTCTGCCTTTTTTTTTCTGAGAAGAGTTTTTGGGATCATATTACTTAGGTTTTGTTATAGTAGGGTAGTTTTAAAAGGGTTCTTTTTAGTGGGAAGTGTGTTGTCATGGTCAATTCATGGAGTCAGGAGATGGAGTGATTTGCTCAAAGAAACTGGACACATGGAAGACACCAACCCCCAGGTATTCTGAGTTGTTATTCACAGAGGGGAAGTGAGCAACAGAAATGAGGTTAAATGAGATTTTTATCTGCAGAAGTTCATGTGCATTACCTTTTCCTGCCCAGCTCTTTCTGGGGGACTTGCCTGGGCTATGATACTCATTATCGAGACGTCACATCATCAAAGGAAAATGTTACTCAGGGCCAGACATGGGTGGCTGCTGCCAAGAAAAGAGAAGAGCCAGAGGGAGAACATCTCCTGCTGCCGTTAGGTTGGGAGCAGGAGTCAGCATACAGTGGGAGCTTTTCCAAGCAGGAGTCTTGTTCTTAAGAAGCTGACAAATATCCAACAACTTTTCTTGTAGGAGGAAACTTCCATGCTAGAATATTGTCATCTCCAATTCATCATTCAGCAACATCTGACACTTCAAAGCCTGAAGCAGTTCTTTCTGCTGCCTGACTCTGCCTTCAACTGACACAAAGAGACATCTTCAGCAGTGTCCCTCTGCTTTTGAGACAAGGATTTGTTCCCATGGATTTCTCATGGAGCTGGTAGGTGTGCATGCTGATGGATTTCACGTCTTTTCAGTAAATCTCAACTTAGAATTATTAGTGGCTAAAAATTTCCTCTCCCCATTACCCAGTGTTGGCCACGGATTGCCACAGAAGCACATTCTTCCTTCAGCCCCAAGTAGCTCCTTAAGGCAGTACTTGTGGTATGATTAGTGAGAGGATGCTGGTGCTGCCGGCTATCTTTGCCTAAATTTCTTACCCTGAAACTTGAACCAAATCACCTGTTGGCGTAAGTCAGAACTGACTTTGCTGGCAATGAGGATCCAGTGCCCTTTTTTCTAGGGCTGAATACCTTTACTCACACTTTGAATAGGTTCTGTTGTTTATTTAACTTAATAGGCTTTCAATAGAGGCTCGTTTGTTTGTTTTGTGTGAATGCCCGTCTGCTTGCATCCTATTTCATGCAAGAACTGTGCTCCTCAGAAGTCAACAGGTATTTTGCCATTGACTTAATTTTGGTAGTTTAGAGGATTTTTTTTCTAATTCCTGTTAGTTTTAACTGTATAAACATATCTTCTTTCTTCATAAGTGTCTGTACAAGACATCTAAGAGATTTAAATGCTCACTGGGGATGTATCTGAAGCAGAGGGACAATGAGTTTAGAGACAGGAGTAAATATACTTTGAATGAATGTTGCAGTTTTTTAAAATAATAGTGTTTATTATGAGCCTAATCCAAAGCCTTTTCAAGTTATTAAGAATTTTCCCTATTTCTATGACTCTTAGAGTATCTGAACTTTTGAAGTTATTACAGTGTATTGGTACCAGTAGATCTTTTATATGGAAAATTGTTAATTTTTTTCCTACCTCAACTTTAATAATAACGTGTTAAACTAATTGACTATGGCTAAGGGTAAGATCAAAGAAAAAGGTGGCATTTGGGGGCCACATTCTTATATTGTGCTGAACTCCTGTAACTTTTTATAGATAAATAATGCAGCAACCTGATGGCACCAGTGTAAGTCCCACTGCCACGTAAGTCATTATTGAAAATGCAGAACTTGGGCTCAGATCCCTGTGGGAACAGATCAATGGCACTCTAGAGCAAACCCATGGCTTTCCTGGGCTCTTCCTCTCTGATACAAAAGGTACTTAATCATGTTGTGATTCAAAGAACAAAGCAACAGAACCTGGGAGAATTTAGGATATCTAAGGTGTCAGCACAGATATATTTGCTTTTCTGATAAGCACTGAACAAGTCTCCTTCCTGCCCCTGGAGGCAGCAAGTACTCTGACAGAAACTCACGGAATCATGGAATGGTTGTGGTTGGAAGGGGACTCTGGAGGCTGTCTGGTCCACCCCCGTCCTGCTCGAGTAGGGTCACCTTAGGAAGGATGCCCAGGACTGTCCAGGTGGCTTTGGAATACTTCCAAGGATGGAGGCTCCAAAACCTCTCTGGGCCACCTGCTCAGTCACCACCCTCACTTGAAAAAGCCTTTCCTGGTGTTCCGAGTGTTCCGGCGTGTGCCCGTGGCCCCTGGTGCTGTCAGTGTGTGCTCAGGGTTGTGTGGCTGTGTGCTGAGCACTCCTCCATAGAACACTAGAACAGCTTTGGAAACCAGATCTGAACTGTCCTTCTCTCATGAGGGCTTGACACTCAGATACAAACTTTCTGAGTAGAAACAGCATAAAGCCTGTTTGTGCCTGTGCTTAAAAGCAGTGAAATCCTCTTTCTCTCAAAACCCATGGTCAGTTATAGGAGGTGCTGAGATATAAAACCAAGGGCTCTCCACAATGAACGAATATATCTTAGCAACAAGGGTGGAGTGGTGGGAAAGGAAAAGGAGAATACAAGTATCTGGCAATTAACTTCCTAGTCACAGATGTGAAGGTGATAAAAGTGATAAAAGCATTACGGCATTGCCAACGCTCTTCCTTGTTCTCTGAGCTGCATATCATGCTGGTCATGAAAGCAAAAGCTACACAGCCCACACCAGAGTGGTGGAGGGAGCTATTTGCAGCAGGAGAATTAGTGGTTCCTCAGTGTTCCAGCCTCTGTTGCACATGTTGGGGTGCACCGAGCACACAGCCTGCTCTAAAGCAGCACAGCCGTGGCAGCCTTGGCATTGTCAGAGGTCACTGACAGCCCCCAGGGTGGCCCCACACCACGAGAGCCCCAGTGAGAGGGCCAAGGGCTGTGAAGGCAGCCTGCAGCAGTGCAGAGCTGTGGGCTCATCCTCCCCTGATCAGGTGGACTCCAGTTACACACTGGCTCCATGGAGCCAGAAGGTATTTGCCTCATAATGCAGATGCAGTCAAACTGTGCTTGCCGTGTGTAGGACTGAGAGTGTGTTTACACTATGGAGACAGGAGGAAAACAACATGTTGTAACTGAGAGGAGTGAATATGAATATAAAACTCCCTCCCACACGGTTACAGGGATGTGGTTTCATGGTTTCATTGCTTTTGCATGAAGCCAGTGTAAATGGCAAGCTGTCAGGCTGGCACTGAAGTTGCTGTAGTGGGAGGTTCACCAGCTTTGAACTGAGCTCAGTGCACGGAACTTTCTGCATCCCCACTCCCCCCACATCCACACTTTGTCATGGCCATTTGAATTGTTTCCCTAAGTAGCACTTGTGTTGAGAAAAGGCTCACTGTTCATCCTGGTTTTTGCTGGGCCCATGCTTGCCCACAGTACTGTGATGTGCACTGGAGCAAATCTATGTAATGTGTGTTTAGGTGTATATCTAAAGAAACAGTGTGAAAAAGCATGTGAGCAAAAATCAAAACAGACTGTGAACTTCACCTCTGTGTGAGAAGATGTGACGCCATTGAAATCTAAATTACATCCAGAAATGCTGACTTCAGGATGTAACCTAAAATAGGATTTGGCTCATGACACTTCAAGATTGGTGTCTGTCTCGGTCTGTGACTCTGTTCTTTCTAGAACTTAGGCACGTATGGATGGCTATTTGATTCTAATCCTCCGCGACCAGAAGTGTCACTGCTGATCTTGTGCATAAATCCTTGTGGGTTCTGAGTGTCTGGTTGTTTGTGATCCCAGGTGGGATCACAGTTCTTCTTGGGATCACCCACGTGTCACAGAGCAGTAATTGGTGATTATTGGTTGAACTCGTGCTCTTCTCTCCGCAGCGCCGCCCGAGCTCAGCAGAGCCTGCTCTAGCCTAGGAACTGCCCGACTCAAGGCAACCAAGATGACAAACGAACCTATTAAAGAGATCCTGGGCTCCCCAAAGCATCCTGATTCTGTAACCACGGAGAAGAGCAACAACAATGACTGTGTGGTCACCACCATCCCCCTGGTCAGTGAGTGCCAGCTGACGGCAGCCACGGGGGGAGCAGAGCTCTCCTGCTACCGCTGCACGGTGCCCTTCGGAGTGGTCATCCTCATAGCCGGCATCGTGGTCACCGCCGTGGCATACAGCTTCAACTCCCATGGATCCATCATCTCCGTGTTTGGGTTGGTCCTCCTGTCATCAGGACTCCTTTTGCTGGCTTCCAGTGCAGTGTGCTGGAAAATCAGGCAGCAAAACAAGAAAGCCAAGAGGCGGGAGAGCCAGACGGCGCTCGTGGCAAATCAGCGAACCTTGTTTGGTTAAAGACAACCAGGGGAAGGCTGGACAGAAGGCAGAGCCTTTGTAAGTCAGCTTGGCTATTTATCAGTGGGAGAGATTGCAGGTTTTAATTTAACTGTGGAAATGAGTGGGAATGGAAATGGAATGGATTAAGAAATACCCTTAACTCTGCAAGTGCTCTTGATATTTTCTTACTGCAGACTTGGTAGCGATTCTTTCCAAGACGGAGGAAAAACCACTTTTCCTTCACAGAAAACTTGGTCATCATAACTGCAACCATCCTAACTGCGTTCTCCAACATGCTGATCGTGTTGGAAAGGGAACCTGTGGGAACTGAGAAAATAATTTGAACTGACTTGACATGCCAGAGATCTTCTTAAACACACACTGTGACATTTGACCAAGGGAGAAGTCACAGCATTTGAAGTGACTACAAGCTTATGGTCAGAGTACCTGGGACTTAAACTGTAGCTCAGAAAACAAACAAACAAACAAAACCAAAAAAAGAAGGCAATAAGAACACACTGCAGTTTGCTCAATAAGCTGATTCTTATATGTTATGTAACTTTCCCTTTACAATATCTGTGGTACTTTCCCCCTTTTTTAAACCAACTAATATTAATTTTGTTTTCCTATTGAATAGAAATAAGTAGAAATGTGTAATTATATTGTCTAACCTGAATAACGAGGTATGATTATAGCTTAAAACATGAGACTTTTTTTGTAAATTAAAGTGGTCAGGTTTAGCACTTTTGATTATTTTGCTATAAAATTAAAAAGTAAATTTCATTAAAATAATATTCAGTGCTGCTAGACCTTTAGAAAATCTTTATTGCTATCAAGATAGCCTGTATCTTCAACTCTGACTGCTCTATGATTCTATTTTTGTAGAACAACCCCTGTGACAATAACTGTGAACACATGCACTGCTGATCTCTTCCAAAAATCTCTGTAGCCTGTGGACTTTGGTTTGATAGCCCATCCCTCTGCATACCAGCTCGGTTGTTGAAAAATCATAGCAGTCAGTTCTGCAGACATTGGCACAGTCAGTTTGAAACACAACTATTAATAATTACTCTTGGAAGCAAAGCCACGTGTGTGGTGTTTGCTGACTGAGCTTTGGGATTATGAATCTTTATGAAAAGCAGGTGCCAGGTGTCCCTCGTGTGTGTCTGAGATGCTGATTCTGTAGTTCTTGTTTCTAGAGCTCTTCCAGCTTTTCTCAGTTAATGAATTGTTGAGGGGCTGGTCCCAAATTGAAGCAAACCAGAACATGATTTCTTTGTCTATATCTTAAAGGACAAGTGAGCTGAGTCACAGATTTCCACCCTGGCCTGTGTGAGGGTGTCAGAAGCCAGAGGAGCTGCACGAAGTCCTCTTCCCCCTTACTGTCTCCAGACTCCGAAAGGCTGGATGTGATTTTTGCTTTCCACTGCCACAGTGAGCGAGGCCTGTGCTAACGTGCCTCCTCTTTGCCCTCCAGAGGCTCTGGCAGCCACGAGGGCTGTGGTGATGCCCCTGCAGAGCACACCTGCCAAACAGGTGCCGCAGGGGGTTCCTCCTGCAGGTCGTCCCGGACCCGCGCGCTCCTCCTGCCGAAACCACCCGGGCATCCCGGCTCAGGTGCCGCCATTTCCTCTGCCCTCCGCGCTTTAAGCTTGTTACATCCATAACTTATCCCCGGATTTGCAGAGTGCACTCCGTGTTTTTAAATAGAGCAGGCCTATATGTGCGGGGAGGGGATGTTTGGGGTCAGTATTTGCGTTGCCACACTCCGTGGTTACCAGACGCTATAATAAAATCACTTGCATCAGAGGAAAGCTGACAACACATTTTAGCACTTCCATAGCCCCAAACTTAATCACGGCAGGAAGCTTTCCTGCTGCTAGGAGAACATGTTGCGTCACCAGAACATCTGACACCGGTGTCTAGTGTCAATCACTTTGCTTAAGGTCATTAAAAATATTAGGGTGTCCCCTTACGATGTACAGGTTTTGCATGAGTGACAATTCATGGGAAATGCATAGCATGATAAATAATGGAACAGGTGGACTAAAGTGGTGTCTTTCCTGTTTAAAATGAGAAAAGTGATTGACATTAGCAAAGCTGGATAAGTTAAATAGGGCTGTTTATTTTTTTTCCCCTCCCTGGGAACACAATAGTTTTTCTGACTCCTTCTTCCCCTTCCTCGTTTCTTTTTTTTCCTCAGTGGAATTTTGGGGGGCTGCCGAGGAGAGAATTGCAAGGGCTATAGAGATGCAATGATTTCCACTACATGTGTGGCAGCTCAGGCCCACAATTCCCAGGCTGAGCCCAGAGCAGGAGCAGCCCATTGCTCTCTCAAGCCTTTCCCACCTCCCTTCTCCACTGCTGTGATACAGCTGAGCTTGCTGTGGCAGGAAGGTAGAGGTAAAAGGTGAGGCTCAGCTCCAAGTCAAAAGATAAAACCAGACTCAGTGGAACAGAGACAATGGGGTTTGGGGAGCAGTTTTTTCAGGAAGGGTAAATAAGAGTGAGTAAGAGTCACTCTGCTACTACTACAGAAGTTTTCCTTTCCCTTATCTCTGCTCTCTTTTATATTTGCAGCGCACATACAAGGACACAGCAGAGTTCCTGCTCCACCCTCTGCCGTGCTAATTGTGGGGCACCCAGGCACTAAGCAGCATGTGAGCAGTGACAGGCAGCATTGCATGACCCTAGACATGATCCCCTGGCACAGCAAAGCTTCAGGTACAACGTGGTGTCCCGTAATACCCTCTTAACTGACAGGTTGGGAGGCCTCCAGGTGATATGGGGCTGCCAGAGCACACACTGCTGAGCTCAGTAGCATTGGCTGTATCCCAGAGAGAGAAGGTACATGCACAGGCATCTTCATATCAAGCACTGAGTGAAAGTCTGTGCAGGAATTCAATCTTGTTTGGCCTTTATTCAGAGAAGCAAAACAGTAACTTTATTGGGGAGAATCCCAGCACTTGTTTCTGGTGTCCTGCAGGAGCAAGAGGTTGTGAATAGTTTAGTCAGAGACCTTATGCTGTTGAAGATGTTTTCAGATGTTTCATCACCTGAATGGTCACATGGTCTTAGAAACTGTCACAGACTTCTCCACCACGATTTGTGTGCATCGATTTTGGAACAACCTGAAGCAGTAGTAGCATCTTTTCTGAATGGCCAAGGATGAGTTCAACACAAGTCTCACAAAGTCTTGCAAATCTACATATTTCAGACACTTTCATTATTATCCTCTCTCCCAGCACCCCTTGTCCTGGTTCCAACACAGGAACAACACATCCTTTTTGGCCTTTAAAGCCCAGCCGTTCTGGGAGGTGCTGTGTGAGTACAGTGTGCAGGCTCAGCACCTCCTTTTTCCTAGAGTCTGGTGATATTGTTAGATCTGAGAAGTTTTTTTGACAGGAGCACATTTACAGTGCTTTTACAAGGGTCAGCCCCCTCAAACTGGATACAACCAGCAAAATTTCTGCTTCAAATTGTCAACCCTAATGACCTAATCTGGATTGATTTGGGTTTTCATGCCTGTGTGCCAAGTCCACCAAGTCTTTGATACAAAACCATTGGAACTCCACAACTGCTGTTTGGTGTTTCCCATGGGAATCTGGGAGGCAGAAGGATGCAGCCCTGGGGAGATCACAGTGACTTTCCAGTTTAGAAACACCTTCCCTTCTGGTGTGAAAAGGCTTTGAATGCGACAAATGATATTTCTGGGAGAGGTTGGGTGGGAGCTGATGCAAATTTTATTGTCGCAGTTGCTTGTCTCTCCCTTCCTGAAAGCCCTGGCAGGACTGTGCAAGCAAAATTGCCCTCACAAGGATAGAAAATTATCTAATGGAGGAATTGCGCTGGTGCGCCGGGCAAACGTTGCCGCGATCTTAAATAATAATTTCAAAACCCAAGCACAGGAAATTGTGTCTGTAACTACACCCTGTATTGCTATTGTACACAAAGACAGTTATAGCCTGGGACAGTATTTTAAAATAATAATCGGTTTGGTATGACAATGCTTAAGGATTTTGCTCAAGTCCAAACGCCCAATTTACGATTCCCCAGTCACTTCACGTGTCGTGTTTTGTACGTGACTGTGGCTCTAACACCATAATTTGCCAGGTTTAGAAAAAAAAAAAGAAGAGAGAGAGAGAGAGATAAAGGTTAGTTTCATGGACTTGTGTCAAGAATTAAGTTTCTCTGCCTGGGACACTTGGGAGAGCTCCTGTTACCAAACACCGAATGTACAGTATTACTGCAGCTCTTCAGAACAGGAACCAGGCTCGGAGTGTGGAACCAAGACAGGCCTGAGAGTCTCATCAGGATCCGGAAGGGTCAGGCCAGGAACAAGCCCTCTGGAATATCCCCTATTCTTGTCTCAGCTTTGCTTATCCAGAGTCAAATCCAGGGCCACCACTCCTTTAATATCTGAGATGGAAGTTGTTGTATGTTATTAGCAGGTTCCACCTAATTTTTAAAATGTTTTTAAATGTTTTAAATGTTTTTAAAATGGGCTCCAAAATAAGAAGAGCGGAACAATATTGGGAGCCATCATTTTGCATATATATTTCCAGCACCTCTAAGTATTAGCAGCTGTCATTGTGCATTTATATTTCCAGTACCTCTGATGCCTTTAGCTTGTAGGACATTTTAGCTATATCACTATAAATATTTGCCAATTACTAAGGGCTTCTATATATAAAATTACATTACATATCAAGAATTGCACTGTATGATGCAAAAAAATATAAATCCTGGCAGAAATCTGTGTGTAGACTAAATCTTACAGGCTAAACCATATGGGAGAACAATGGTCTTAAACTGCAGAATCGACTTGAATTTTTGGCTTTTATTCAGGTTGTTGATGTCACTATTAACATGACACAGGACCTAATCCTTCCTCTTCTGAGCAGCCAGTTGGAGTCCTATTGTCCTGATTCTGTGTGTCTTAAAATTTGCATTTGTGGCAAACATGGCATTTTTGAAAAATGCTTTTTTTTTTGTTTGATTGCTTTTTTCCTTAACTCTTCTTCCGTGCTTTCTAGACTAAGAGAAAAAGAGTATTAAACTTTAAAAACAGGGACAAAAGGGAGGGAAGCAAGTGAAGATCACACAACTGCAGATGTTGGACTATGCATAAAGACGTGGAGGGATAGTAAAGCTTTACATAAGTGCCTTGTTGAAAGACAGAGACTTTAAAAAATATGTAAGTCTTGTTTCTGCAACATCCTTGGCTATATCCTTACTCTCATTCTTATAATATGCCTGAAGTCCCCAGGTTAACATCAGTCTTAGATCTCACCTCGGGTTTATTTTCTGTTTCCCAGGAACCATTTAGCTCAGCAAAAGGCAGAATCTCTTACCATCTTTTGCAGCCTGACTGAAATCAAATGGCCATTTGGGATTTGCAAATGCAGTGCCCCCCTGGTTTTGTGAGTTATAAGGCATTCAGCCACAGTCTGCTCTTCAAGAGGTAGGTGCTGTGTAGAGGTAAAGATTTCTGAACTGCAGCGAGAGATGTCAGTGAATTATCTATGAAAAAGGGTAAATAACTGCAGGGCAGCCCTTCTCAGCCCCGTTCCCTTTCAATCTGAAGGCCCGAGTTTGTGAATAGAGTTAACAGCTTTCCTGGAAAACTGGCCCATGACATTATTTCCTTGTGAACTCCATCCACCTGTCATGTTAGGGCTTGGTGCGACGCCAGCGCTGGCAGGAAATAATAGGCAGCAGGATGCTGGTGTGTGTCGATGGCCCTGACCCTCCCATTCCTGAACATGAATAAGCTCCGAGCTCACCAGGCGTCACAGCAGAGCGGCTCCCGGGCCCTCGGCAGCGCATGGGTGGGATGCACAGCCACTAAAATAACATCCAGCCGGCGGAGCTGCGGCCGGAGCCGCATGGGAAGGGACGGTGTCACATTCTCGCCGCCTGCTGCTCTTTGTTCTCGCCCTGCACGCTCGCTGTGCTGCAGAGAGCACGAGGGCTGCCTCACACAGTGAAAAAGTGCAAAGCAGGCAGGTATGTGAATTTGCTGAGACCCCCCCAAAAGAACACAAAAGGTTCATTGAACAACTTTTACTGCTTCGGGAGGGAAATGCACTGGTGGGGGAAAATGAGTTATGAGCCTGAAGTGGTTTGCAGATGGCTTTCTCCTCTTGTGCCTGAGAACGGTACCTCAGTTCGGTGTTTTGCAGGACAAACTCTTGGGATGTTAGGTGGTGAGTCAGGGGAGCCCAAATCACCCTTAAATCAGGCTTAGGCTCAGTGTCTGACACAGTGCACACTGAAATGTGTGTTCTCTGAGACCACCCCAGCCACCCCTTGTCCATCTGGTTAGTTGGCATTCCCAAATACTGCACAGGCATTGGGCAGAATGCAGAGAGGACAGAAAGACTTCTTATTCCCATTTTTCCCTCTGCCAGACCACATGTGACAAATCTGCTTAGGTTCTCGTATGGCCAGCATTCTCTGAGGTACTCAGAGTATTAATCTGGAATATAAGTCCTCTTGTTCGTCATCTCAAAGGTAAAGGAGATAGCTGTGTTCTCCTCAAGGACATACCATTTTTAAACCCAAAGTCACTAGTCCATTTTATTATATCTTAAAAATTTCTGTATTGGTAAAAATAAATATAAAAAGATAAAAGATCATATACACACACACACACATTCTTTGACTACACGTAGGGGTAAATAGCCCCTAATTTTCTAATTATTTCTAGTGCTTGCAACATAAAAACGCACTCCCCCAAAGGAAGCTCCTTCCCAGGACTGATGGCTGAGAGCCAGGATAATTGCTGGAAGGGCCAGGCACGTTGGGACTGCAGCTGAAATGGAAGTTTATTTGCAAGCCAGGGCTCACCAGCTCCCCACTGCCTGGTGGTTTAAGAAATGTCTGATCACAAGAAGCTCTGGCTTCCTGTGATGAGATGTCTTCTCCTCTAAATCAAACCATGACCATTTTCCCCTCATCTTACATGTAATGGAAGAGCTGAAATCCCGCTGTACTTCACATCATGTAACTCAAGAGCTCCTCGGCTAAGAAAGCTGGGGTCAGATACACAGTCTGTGAACAGGCTTATTTCTGGACTCCATGGGGTATGTTATGTATGACCATCTGTGTTGCCACTTCTGATTTGCTTTTAGCTAGATAGAGACAAAGATCATTTCATCTTTGCCTACCAACTGATGGTGCTTCAAAGAATGACCTCTGCTATCACACAAGCAAAGGGCTTTTCAGCCTTCACTCTGGCTTGTAAAATAAATTTGTAAAGAAACATCCTGATCTCTTAACCATTTCCCTATAAATTTTTTCCTCAAGAAAGTCAAATGACTGGATCTGGAGCAAAACTGTTGCCTGATCTGGAGCAAAGCGGTACAGCAGAAGTTTAATGAAATACAGGCTTGAAGCAAAGCTTCCTGTCACCCCTTTTCCTTTTTGCCCAAAGGCAAAACTGCTGAAGTCAATAATGTAACTCCTGCAAAAGATCATAGAGATGGTCAAGTTATTGCTCATGTTTTAACTCTTGCAAGATGAGTGACTAAGTGTAATAGGACCAACACCTTCATTTGTCTTTCACAATAAAAACCCCAACAAGCCAGAGAACGAGCTGTTCTTCCCTTGGCAGAGCATTTCAGCTCCTCACCACAGCAGCTGGGACATGACAGATGTCACAGCCTCAATTGCCACCAGCACCAAGTGTTGTGAAAGATGTAAACCATCAGTGCTGGGCACAGTATTCACAGTCACTGACTTGCTGAGGTTCTGCCCCACTGTGTGCTGACATCAGGAGGTCTAAGGTGGCTTATCTGAGCAGCCACCTCTTCCTCACTGTAGCCTGGGCCGCTTGATTGTGCCAGGCAGGATTGGAAGAACTTAATTCCAGACATGGAAAAGCACAGTTGGTCTGTAAAGCAACCAGAAGTGAAAGCATGGAGCCTGGAGCTCAGGGTGGGACAAAAAAGCCCAAGGCAGAATCCATGTGCCCACATGTGCTTGGCTCACACTGATGCTACAGCAGAGGTAAGTACTGCAGGCAGGACTGAAGCACGTTGGCAACCAGCTCGGGGAGGCTTTTACCACTGCTGCTGTGACGTGTCTGATCCCTGGCTGGGTGAAGGGCTTTGTTTTCCTTTGCATAAAGCAATGACAGCCAGGTCTGGGCTCCACACAGAGTGTTGCTGGACACCCTGGAGCAGGGGATGAATCACAGCGTGGTGTTTCTGATGCACTTCTGGCAGTGACTTTGTGGGACTTCGGGGGAACTGGCCATTAGATCATTTCCCAGGACCACCAACCGGGGACTCAATCAGACAGTATCAACTCTCACTTGGATTTTTGGCCTAAATGGTCAATAAAAAACATTCCCCTGGTGGTGGTGAAACCATTTGTGCTTCTGTGCAAGAATTACTGTTCAATTGCCTTTGGAATACAACAAGCTTGTTCCAGTCAGAACTACAAAATTTAAAGCTGCCACCTGAAGTGGCCATTACTGAACAACAGGACTGCACAGGAATGGGCAGGCAGACATTCCCCTGCCTGGCAGGTCATGTTCTACAACTGCCCTGGGTCTCAGCACTTCTCCAAAACTCCACTGTGTTTTTATAGGACCCAGATCTCTTAATCCACTTGGTTTAGGTGTATTTTCTGTTTAGTCTCACAGCGAGCCAGGCCACGGCCAGTAAGGACAACTGATGGCAGTG